TTGGAAGTTGTGTTATTTCTGAGTGTATGGCGGTGAGACTTCATCATCATTATTGTCAGCTGTAATAACCGCGTACTCGTCGTACAGAGGTTGTAGCTGTCAGTTTCGTTCACCGATGATTCGGGGAGGCGGGGTAGGTAGCTGCGCATTGGAGGCGGGAGGTGATAAATTAGTGCGTGGATACAGTAGTGTAGGTGGGGGGTTGGGAAGGGAGCTATGCATTAAAGGCAATGGCTTGGATGCATGAGCGCCATTGACAGCGCGACTGGGCCATGTATGACAAGTCTCTAACCGTTGATATGACCCGTCTCGGGGTCCCCATCCAGAAAGACGGCGATGACCAGCGCAGCTGAGTTTGCTGGTAATGGCTTTTATACTTCGCTGCCAAGTCGTTGTTTGAACACCTCTGGCTCTCTTCCACCCTTCACGTGGTTGTGCGGAAAGAACCCTCCGAGAAAGTCGGACGACTGGCATGCGCAACACGTGGCCAGGCCAGCGCACCCTACGCAGTGTGATCAGTTCATCTATCGAGAGTGAGTTATTCTTCCCGAATACCATTCAACGGACTTCAGCATTGCTAATCCGGTGTTCCCACCTCCTTGGCGCGCCCCATTCTGCAGGCACATTGTCTTCGTCCCATATCGCACCAACAGGCTCTATCAGATGGGTCACCAGGGATTTTCCGAATTCTTTTAAGAGGGCTGGATAGTTGGCAAATGAGTGTATATTCGCTAATTTCGGTTTCAAGTAGAACACAAGGTTGACGGAAACCCGGGGACTGTGTCTACCCGATGAGCCCAAAGTGGAAGGGCGAAACCAGTCGTGGGCTGTCGACGGATTTTCAGCAACCTTATGAGTAGTACATTACAAAGATATACAAACATGTTTGTTAAAATCAGCTCGCTTCAAAATGGAGACATTAAACGAACATTTAAACCCATCTCCTGAGTTTTCCGTACAAAGAAAAGCCGTTCGGTCCTGGTGCCTTCTCACATTTTAGTAGAGCTATTTCGTACCTTATTTCTTCTTTCGAAGGGCGATCACGGTTTACGTTCCATTCGCTCGTGTGCGTTATCTCCAAAGGCTGTGTTGCAGGAGGCCAGCTGAACTGCTCTTCGAAGTGCTCGGCCCATCTCTCCAGTCGACGTTTTTGCGAGTGAATTAATGAGCCATCTTTTTCACTTATCGTTTCTCTGACCGTTGCTTTCCTAGGGCCAGTCGATCGTATCAGTTGATAAAGGACACGGCTGTTTCCCGTAGCAAAAGCCTTCTCCATCTCCCG